AGCCTCCAGAATTACAAGAAAATGAATTTCTGTTGTTTAAACCACGTACTCTATGGCATTTCATTATGGTGGCCCTAGTAAACTAATACAGCCACTCTGGAAAACAGTCTGGTAATTGCTTAAAAAAATTAAACCTGCAACTACCATACAATCCAGCAATTGCACTTCTGAGCATTTATCCCAGAGAAATGAACTCTTATGTTCGCATATAATCCTATACACAAATGTCTATATAGCAGCTTTATGTGTAATAGCCAAAAAATGGAAACAAGCCAGATGTTCTTTAATGAGTGAGTGGCTAAATCCATGCTATTGGATATCACTCAGAAATAAAATGGAACAAACTACTGAGAGATGCAACCTGAATCAATCTCTGAAGGATTCTGCTGAGTGAAAAAAAGACAATCCTAAATTAGGTTACACATTGTATGATTCCATTTATGTAATATTCTTGAAATGAAAACATTACAGAAATGAAGAACAGATTAGAAGTTGCCAGAAGTTAAAGAATGATAAAGGTGGGAGATGAGTGGGTGTGGCTACAAAAGGAGAACAGGAGGTATTCCTTGTGGTGAAGGAAATGTTATCTTGACTATACTGATGTCAATATTCTGATGGTGATGCTGTACCACAGTTCTGTTATGAATAGATGTTACCACTGGGAGAAACCAGGCAGAGTATATCTCTCTGAATTATTTCTGACAACTGCATGTGAACCAACAATAATCTCAAAATAAAAAGGTGAATTTCAGCAAACAAGCAGAAAAAAAGAAATATACCCAATTTTCAGAAAAGCCCATTGGAAGTACAAGTAGAAATGTAGGCGAGTGTGCGTGCACACACACACACAACACACATACACAGCCCTCTCTAGCTATGATAGGAAAAGGCTCTCTATGTGGCCCCAACATCAAAACACCCCAATCCACTTACCTGCTTCACTTTGACTGTTGAGTGGTGAGGACTTCGGGTCCTCTTACTCCGAGGAGACTTGCTTCTTCTCCCTGAGGACTTGTTTTTCTTTTTGGGTGGGGACCTATACAAAGCATGGTACATACAGGATTTTACTCAATTTCCCTTCCCCCATAAAAATTAGCTTCCAGTATCAGGCTTACATACTAACACAAACACCACATTTGTGAAGGTCTCTGACAGACACATTATAGTCACGAGGTTCACTTTCCTAGCCCTAACATCTCCCTCGCATTCCACACTCACAAAGACAACTCTCTACTGAACCTTCTCACTTAGATAACATAGCTCTTAGTTCCCAAGCCTTCAAAAACCTTTCCTCTCCTACTCTTTGCCATCTTGTTAATTGGCATCACCATCCAGAAGTCACCTTTGACTCTTTACCCCTCACTACCAACACCCCTACCATCAATAACAATTTATCCATCCTGTGGTTCTGCTTCCTGCCTATACCATCTCATTCCTACCACCCACCTGCTTGACCACTATACTCCACTGACACTGGCTTTTTCCCATTTCAATCATGATTCATTCTACTTCAAGTGCTTTGCACATGTTGTTTCCTCTGCCTGGATCTTTCAGAGGCTGGATCATTCCTATCAGTCAGGTCGCAGTTCAAATGGCACCTCTTTAGAGGCCTCCTCCCTCTTCTCTCCAATCTCTCACTATCACAGTACTGTTTTAACCTGTCAATAATACTTGTTACTAACTGAAACCCACTTTATTTATTTCTTGTTATTGTCTGTCTCAGGGCTAGATTTGGAAACGGTGAAGACCATCTAACTGAATCACCCTTGCAGCCCCAAAACCTAGGGCAGTCTTTTAACACTTAACAGGCACTCAGTAAAACTACGCTGAAGGAACGCATAAATCTATGTGAACTTTTTTTTTTAGTTTCTGTCGACGTGAAAACTTTTTGGGCAGGTAATTGTAAAGACAACGCCCGCACTCCATTCCTCCATTCGGGATGAGGAGAATCTCATTCCAATTTAACAGATTATCTGTGCTACCTGCTGAGCCACACTTTGCAAAGTGCTGGGGACACAAGAATGGAGGGACGGGATCCTGCCAGTTAGGCATTAGGCGTTGAACACCGAGCTATCATGCAAGTGACTGAGCAAGCATAACACAGGCACGACTGGATCACTCTCAACCGCCTCTGGATTAGGTCCGGGCTAGCTGCGCCCAGCATTCAAAACCCGTTTCGGACGCTAGCCCTGCCCGCCTTTCTGAATGAGCCCAACCCTAGGTCCATCCTGGGCTGCTCCCCCACTTACCGGCTAACTCCTCGGGCTCGGTTCCCGCGGTGGCCCGGGCGGCTCGGCTCGCTGGCCGGCGGGGAAGGGCTACCGCCGGAGTGGTCCGGACGACGGTGGGCGGGAGGGGCGGCTTCCGGGCTGAGACGCTCCTGCTTCACCACCACCGTCGCCGGCAGCACCACATCCACGTCCCGGTGTCTTCGCCGGCTCCCTCGCTCCCGTTCGCTCTTCACCGCCTTCATTCTGTGATTTTGCCTGAGCGAAAGAAAACAGATCCGTTGAGCTCCTCTAGCTGAAGGAAATGACGTGTTTGACTCCTGGATTTCCGCTTCCGGGGTGCCCCGGTTCCCATATATCTTCGCGGCAGAGAGATTAAACAGGTGACGACTCCCCAGTGAGCGTGGTCAGTGACTAGGTTTGGTGGCAGGAGTTTCGGGTTTCAAAAACAAACTTCTGGCCTGGCGCGGGGGCTCACGTCTGTAATCCCAGCACTTTGGGAGGCCGAGGCTGGCGGATCACCTGAGGTCAGGCGAGCATCCTCGCCAACACGGTGAAACCCCGTCTCTACTAATGATACAAAACAATTAGCTGGGCATGGGGGCGTGCGCCTGTAATCCCAGCTACTCGGGAGGCTGAGGCAGGAGAATCGCATGCACCCGGGAGGCGGAGGTTGCAGTTGCAGTGAGCTGATTGCGTCACCGCACTCCAGTCTGGGCTACAAGAACGAAACCGTCTCAAAAAAAAAAAAAAAAGAGCAGGGCTGGGCGTGGTGGCTCACGCCAGCACTTTCGTAGGCTGAGGCAGGCGGATCACTTGAGGTCGGGGGTTCGAGACCAGCCTGGCCAACACGGTGAAACCCTGTCTCTACTAAAAATACAAAAATTAGCCTGGTATGGTGGTGCAAACCTATAATCCCAGCTATTTAGGAGGCTGAGGCAAGAGAATCGCTTGAACCCAGGAGGCGTAGGTTGCAGCGTGCGGGGATTGCACCACAGCACTTCAGCCTGGGTGACAGAGACATCACAAAAAAAAAAAAAAAACCTGGAAAAAAGCAAACTTCTCAAGGCTGTTTGTTGCCACGTTATTAGTAATTACAAAACGTGAAAACAATGTAAATGCTCAGCAATAGGGAAGTTAGCCAAATTAATGGGTGTTATGTGGCCATTAGTAAACCATTTACAAACTCTAAAACATGTTAACGATAAAGCAGGATACAAAATTGTGCACAAACTGTAATTACATTTACATTTGGAAATAGAAGGGAGAAAGAAATGGAAATGCAATCAGAGATGAGAACCCATGGTCAAATCATTAGCGTTTCCTCTTCTGTTTAATAAACTTTCTGCAATGCTGTTGGGGCTCAGAAACTGAAACCCCAAAATAAGGCACATTGACTTGCTGAACTGAAGAAGCCTCGATGTTCCTTCCTTGAATCCACCGTCTCTCCCAAAGCACAGGACTTTATCTGTCTAATATCCAGACTACCAAAAGGAATAATTGTTTCTTTCTTCTCCTCCCAATAATGTAATCACACCTGACCAGAGACCCTTATACTGTCAAAAGAGCTATTTACAGCTAAGTACAGTGGCAGCAGCCTGTAATTCCAATGCTTTAGAAGTGCAAGACAGGAAAATCGTTTGAAGTCAGGAGTTCGTGATCAACCTGCCCAATATAGCAAGACTCTGTCTCTATAAAAAATTAAATTGTCAGGGACTGTTGCCTCGAACCTGTGGTTCCAGCAGAGACAGGAGGATCGTTTGAGCCCAGGAGTTGTAGGCTCTAGTGAGCCATGATCTCACCACTGCACTCCAGCCAGGGCTACAGAGTGGGACCCTGTCTTCAAAAGAACCAAAACAAAATAAAACAAAAAATATTTACAAATTCATCTCTGTCCCCTTATCCGTTCATTCTCCCTAGTAATCCCTGAACAGAATGCCTCCTTCTCTCACCCCCTTAAACCTGTTTTATCAGGAGGGTATATAAACTTCTGAACCCTTTTTGGGGTGGGTAATCATGCTGTGATTCTCCCCATGTATACATTTTAAATACATTTGTATGCCTTTTCTCCAGTTAATCTGCCTTTTGATTAATTGGAGAAAAGGCCTACAAATGTATTTAAATTTGATTCTCCAATTAATCTGTCTGAATTGAATTTTGATCGAATCTTCAGGGGGCAAAGGGGAAATTTCTTATCGGCCCCTGCATTGTCATTTCTCCATTTAATTAGAAAAATACTTTAGGCCGGGCACAGTGGCTCACGCCTATAATCCCAGCACTTTGGAAGAGTGAGGCAGGCGGATCACGAGGTCAGGAGTTCAAGACCAGCCTAGCCAACACGGTGAAACCCTGTCTCGACTAAAAATACAAAAATTAGCCGGGCATGGGGGTGCGCCCCTGTAGTCCCAGGTACTCGGGAGGCTGAAGCAGGAGAATCATTTGAATCCAGGAGGCAGAGGTTGCAGTGAGCCGAGATCGCACCACTGCACTCTAGGCTGGGCTACAGAGCGAGACTCCAACTCAATTTAAAAAACAAAACAAAAGCAAAAACCTTCAAAAAACCTAGGAACCCCAGATGACTTCCTTTGGAATTATCCCTTAACCCTTCATGAGGAGTCAGGAGATGACTCCTGTATTTCAGGCCACAAAATTGGGGCACGACAAAGGTGATCTGCCCATTTCATTCAAATCGCGATATAGACGCAGCAACAGCACTCGAACCGCCGTTTCCCTTGCTTCCAAGAGTACACGGGCGACCCAGTGAGCAGAAGGCCTAAGAAGCCAAGCAAGCACCAGAGATTTCTGCCCAGGAGGCACAGGATGAAACTCGTGGGCTGTTGGCCCCGCCCCACTTTGAAGCTCCGCCCAAGCCAAGAAGCGCAGGGGCGGGGTTGAGGGGTGGTTTCCACGGTGACGACAAACAAGGCCCATACTGTAGGGGGCCGCTGCTGGGCTGCTTCTCCCGCCGCTGCCATGATTCCCCCCGCAGACTCTTTGCTCAAGTACGACACCCCGGTGCTGGTGAGCCGGAATACGGAGAAACGGAGCCCCAAGGTAAGGACGGCGGCTCAGGAGACAAAGGAGCCTCTAAGCTCCGATGGGGAAAGACATATTCCCGCATTGAGGGTCAGGAATCCCAAGGGACAGGGATTGCAGAGACTGGGAGTAAAAGGAATTGGGAAGTTGGGGAAGGACGGTGAGAGGATTGTATAGGAAGCCAGATGTTGGGTGTAAGCCAGATGTTGGGTGTGACCCCAGAGGGCAGATTTAGGATGGGGAAGAAGGTCACAGGGAGATGGATGGGGCTAACTCTTCTTCATAGTACCTGAGTCCAAGAATAGATGAGGTAGTGATTTCCCCATCACCAGAGGTGTGAAAGCACGTGCCTGAGCACCTGTGCCAGGAACACCTGTTCAAGCATTGAGTTGGGACTAAACTTTATGGCCTCCTTCAGCTCTGCGACATAATTTCTGCGGAGAAGACCGATCCAAAGTGGCTAGGAAGAGAGGAGGGCTGTGCAGAAGTCCTGGAGCATTCTAGAGGTGGAGGATGTGTAGAGCTGAGCTCCTGAACCATTTCCTGCCCTTACTTGTGCCTTCATCTCAGGCTCAGGCACTGAAAGTCAGCCCCCAGCAGCCTGGACCCTCAGGTCCAGTCCAACAGCCACCCAAGACCAAGCTCCTGGCAACTTCTTCTGTCCCAGATCCTACAAAGCAGGCAGAAGAAATCTTGAATGCCATCCTACCCCCGAGGTAAGAAAGTAGGAGCAGTGGCTGGGAGAATGCCTCCGCTTTTGCATCCTTAATTTTGGGAGTGTGGGAGGAGGCACTCTGCCTCTGTTCCTGGCTGGGGTTTCCTTCCAGTATCATAGAGCTCTTAGAACTTACCTATGGCTGGATCCTGGCGGGGCGGTGGGAGACCTCTTCTCAATCTACCATCATTTCCTGGATGCCCTCACCCAATCTCATGGCTTTAGATACCACCTATAGGCCAATGGCTCCCAAATGTGCAGAGGAGAGAAGAGAGCCCTGTCCTCTCCACTAAACTCCAGGCCATATAGTCTTCTACTTCCTCATTATCTTCATGAAGATATCTAATAGACATCTCAAACTCAATATATTTGAACAATCACAATTTCTTCCTCCCCCAGCCTGCTTATTCCCTGTCTTCTCCTTTTTACTAGGGACTCAAGCCCCCTTTTAGTCCTTTTGATCACTCTCACACCACGTGTCCTATCCTTTGTCACATTCTTTTCACTCTGCCTTCAAATTCTTTCCCAAATCCAACCACTTTTCACCACCTCTGCTTTCACCATCTTGCTTCTAGCCACTGGTGGCCACTTGCATGGCTGCAATGGCCTCCTATCTGAAATGCTGCTTCCACTCTGCACCTACAATCTATCCTCCATACAGCCCCTAAGTCATAAGTCAGATCATGCCAGTCTCTGGCAGAAACTCTTTCGTAGCTTCCCATCTCAGACTAAAATCAAAAGTTCTTACAGTGGCCTGGAAGATGTGACATAATCTGGTCTATGATACATCCCCGACCTTATCTCCTGTTATTCTGTTTCTTGTTCACTGTGCTGAATCCACAGGGGCCTCACTTGCTATTTCTGGAGTGCCTCATCACTCTCCCACCACAAGGGTCTGACAGCTGGTGTTTTCACTGCCAAAGATGCTCTTCCCTTGATATTCCCTTGGTTCCCTTCATTTCTTCACACAGGTATTGCTCTGGTATCATTTCTTCCAGGAGGCCTTCCTTGAGAATTCTCTGCAGAAGAGCAGCCTTCCCCAACATGATCTCCTTTCCTTGCTTTTTCTTCTGCAGCCACCTTGATCATGGACATGCCTTTTTCAACTATTTTTATGTAATAAGTTGACAGTACAGTTTGTAAGTCTATGAGGAAAAGGGAAACAGTCAAAGAGAGACTGTCATCTCCTCTGAGATAGAGGTCAAAGGACGGGGTAACTTGTCAGTTGATTCCCTCCCACCAATGACGCAAATCCTCTTTCCCATGGCAGTTCTGCCTTCAAACTTTCTCCCTGTGATTCCACAGCCTGGCCACCTCCGGCACAAGGTTCGTTATGGGGGCCCATGCAGGGACACACCTTCAAGAACATCCCCACCCCTGATACACACATCTGCCTCTTTCTGGCTTGCAGAAGGTTTATGATGTCCTGTTTTCCCACCCCATAACTGGTGGGTAATTCCTACTCTTCAGATCAAGCAACAACCTTAAATCGGTCTTCAACATGTTAGGAGGGTAAGATCTGGGCCAGTGGGGTATGATTTCACAGCGGCCCCTTGCCACAGTGGAAATTGCCCACCACCCACTCATTCCCAAGGTCCCTGTGGAGGCAGCATGGTGGGTGTGGCTTTGGAGCCTCACACCCCTAGATATGGAGGATTCTCAGGCAGGGGGCTCAAAGGGCCCTCTCTCCTCATGTGCTAGGAAGCCTTGAGTCAATGGGTTTTGCTCAGCCTCACTGTGTCTACCACAGGGAGTGGGCGGAAGACACGCAGCTATGGATCCAGCAGGTGTCCAGCACCCCCAGCACCAGGATGGATGTGGTGCACCTCCAGGAACAGTTAGACTTAAAGCTGCAGCAGCGGCAGGCCAGGGAAACAGGCATCTGCCCTGTCCGCAGGGAACTCTACTCACAGTGTTTTGGTGAGTGAGCCAGGTGAGGGGTGGGCACTACACACTCTACTGCTCCCTTCCCTTCACCTTCAGCACAGATCCAAGCCTGAGTACCCTGGAACTGGAGCCCACCTCATGCTGGAATCCCCTCTTCTCCCCCTGCCTGACCCACCCAGCAAGAGCTAAATGGCCCCTTCCCCTTCCCAGCCCAGCCTCTTCTACAACTCCTCCAGCTGCCAACCACTGTATTCTTGGCAACTTGAGTTCCTCACTCCTTAGCAGATGTTTGGAGTAAGACGAGAATTTCCATCTGTTTTTTTTTTTTTTCAAAGATTTCTATAATAAGCATGTGCTAATTTTTTAATCAGAAAGATTAATGTTCAGTATTTACATCCATTCATCACTTTTTGGCCCTTGGTCCAGAAAAATCTTGTAATTTGTTGTAAACCGACAGACACGAGAGATTTAAGATGCACCTCCTTGAGTGCTGGTGTCAAATGGCTGTCCCCAGCCCAGTCTCACTGGCCTTCATGGATGCTGATCTGCAAACCACCTCCAAACGCTCAGGCAGCTGCAGCGGCTAGCAGGCTTCCCTCTCTGTGTGTGATTATGGTTTGCCCTTCAGGTCAGCATTTATGGGGAGATAGGTGGGCAAGCTCTAGACCTGGGCTTTTCCAGCCCCAAACCAGTGCAGCCAAGGGGGCACACAGGATGTCCCAGCTGCTTGAAAACAGCCAATGGGCGGGACACAGTGGCTCATGCCTGTAGTCCCGGCACTTTGGGAGGCTGAGGCGGGTGGATCACCTGAGGTCAGGAGTTCGAGACCAACCTGGCCAACCTGGTGAAACCCCATCTCTACTAAAAATAAAAAAATTAGCTGGGAGTGGTGGCATGCACCTGTAACCTCAGCTACTTGAGAGGTTGAGGCAGGAGAATTGCTTGAACCCAGGAGGCAGAGGTTGCAGTGAGCCGAGATAACGCCATTGCACTCCAGCCTAGGAGATGGAGTGAGAACTTCTCTCAAAAAAACCAAAAAACAAAAACAGCCACCATCTTTAAACAGAAAAAGTCAGTTTTTTTCCTTTTTTGGGGGGGGACAGAATCTCGCCCCGTCACCCAGGCTGGAGTGCAGTGGTGCAATCTCGACTCACTGCAACCTCTGCCCCCAGGGTTCAAGCAATTCTCTTGCCTCAGCCTCCTGAGTAGCTGGAATTACAGGTGCCTGCCACCATGCCCGGTTAATTTTTGTATTTTTAGTAGAGACGGGGTTTCACCATGTTGGCCAGGATGGCCTTGATCTCTTTACCTCACGATCCACCCACTTCTGCCTCCCAAAGTGGTGGGATTTCAGGCATGAGCCACTGCGCCTAGCCAAAGTCAGTTTTTTTTTTTTCTAATAGTAGCCAGTTTTTACCTAAGGCCAGAAGGGAGGGGGTCCGGGGCTGTAAACACACCAGAACGTCTTGTTCCCTCTGCCCTGGCTGACCCAGGCTAGCTGACTGTGCTACTCGCAAGTGCCGAGTTCAGAGGAGTGAACCTTGCATGGCAAGGTTCTTTGGGCCACTGAAGGGACCCTCCCTGAGGTCCTTCTCTGAGGTCTTGTACTTTGTCTCCAAGCGAGAACACTCTAATATCCTTCCCCAGAGGAAGGGTGTTTGCAATAGAAATAGCAAGTCCTCTCCCCTCACCCTGTCTGATCTCATGGTATGTGTGCATTGGAAGATGAGTTGATCCGGGAGGTCACCATCAACTGTGCGGAGAGGGGGCTGCTGCTGCTGCGCGTCCGGGACGAGATCCGCATGACCATCGCTGCCTACCAGACCTTGTATGAGAGCAGCGTGGCGTTTGGCATGAGGAAGGCACTGCAGGCCGAGCAGGGGAAGGCAGACATGGAGAGGAAAGTGAGTGGGGATTGCCAGGACCCTTAGGCCCCTGACTCTTCTGTAAACCTCAGGGCCATGTGCTTGTCATTCCAGCACTACAGGCTGGCCTCCTAAGGTGCTCTCCTGACATTCAAGACCCCTGGACCTGCATCACCTCAGTAAGGGACCCTTGGCTGAGTGTGATGGCCAGCCTGGTCTTGGGAGAGTTGTCTCTGCTGTGGACACTCCATGCCAGGCACTGACCTCCCACTGGGTGGCAGTACATACCCTGGCAATGCCTTGTGTCCCATGTCCCTTCCACCCAGGCTCTCACCCCTTTCCGTCCACCTGGCCACATCCCAGGATAACTGGGCATTCTGTCCTTAGATTGCAGAATTGGAGACAGAAAAGAGAGACCTGGAGAGGCAAGTGACCGAGCAGAAGGCAAAATGCGAAGCCACCGAGAAGCGGGAGAGTGAGAGGCGGCAGGTAGAGGAGAAGCAGCACAATGAGGAGATTCAGTTCCTAAAGCGGACAAATCAGCAGCTGAAGGTAATCAACGTGGGGATGGAGGTGCTCACTGCCCCGAGACCCAGCTCCAAAGGCCAGGCATTCGGTTCTTTTTCCACAGCTTTTACATGTTCACACGCACTGCCAAAGATTAAAGGAAGCTGACTTTGGTGGTGGGAGAGGGGAGGACTCCAGAGGGGGGTCTCTACTCTCAACTCCAAATCCCTGTGGTACCTCAGCCTGGCTCTCCAGTGGAGGATTTTTACCCCTGGAAAAAAGCTGCCCATCCTCCGGGGAGAGGTGGAGATGGCAAAAAGTGGAACTGCTTTCCCCTGGAAGCTGGTATGTTGGAGCCTTCCTGGAGGGCGCTGGGCTCCAGCTGGCTTGTGTGGTAGTGCTGCCCCACTGCTGTCTCCTCTGAGGCACTGTTTCGGGGCATAGCCAGGGAAGAAGTCAGAACCAGTGGGTAGCAGGGCCCTTTGAGAGGAAGAACCATTTCAAATCAGAAACCTTCCTCGGGAGTGTAGTCGGGGAACCCAGCTATAGGTGTTCTTCCTCAAAGCCCAATGCTAGCAGTGGATTTATTTATTTATTTATTTATTTTGAGGCAGATTCTTACTCTGTTGCCAGGCTGGAGTGCAGTGGTGTGATCTCCGCTCACTGCAACCTCTGCCTCCTGGGTTCAAGCGATTCTCCTGCCTCAGCTTCCCGAGTAGCTGGGATTACAGGCACATGCCACCACACCTAGCTAATTTTTGTATTTTTAGTAGAGACAGTGTTTCACCATGTTGGCCCGGATGGTCTTGAACTCCTGACCTCACGTGATTCACCTACCTAGGCCTCCCAAAGTACTGGAATTACAAGTGTGAGCCACTGCGCCTGGCCAGAAATGAACTCTTTTTTTTTTTGAAACGGAGTCTCGCTCTGTTGCCCAGGCTGGAGTGCAGTGGCACCATCTCAGTTTAGCGCAGCCTCTACCTCCTGGGCTCAGGTGACCCTCCACCTCAGCCTCCTGAGTAGCTGGGATTATAGGTACACGCCACCACGCCTGGCTAATTTAATATTTTTAATGGAGATAGGGTTTCACCATGTTGGCCAGGCTGGTCTCAAACTCCTGACCTCAAGTAATCCGTCTGCCTGGGCCTCCCAAAGTGCTGGAATTACAGGCATGAGCCATCGTGCCTGGCCGAAGTGAGCTATTTTTATTGGCTTAAAGCTGCATTGCATATAAAGTAGCTTTGCTGTCCCCAGGATATACCTTCCTAAAGATCTGTCCAGTATCATTTTATTGGCTGCCAGAGAAGCATAGTAAATAACTCCCAAGTGTCTTAAGTTTTACATAAAGAGGGACTGCTCTCAGCTGGGCACAGTGGCTCATGCTTGTAATCCCAGCACTTTGGGTGGCCAAGGCAGGTAGATCACCTGAGGTCAGGAGTTTGAGACCAGCCTGGCCAACATGGTGAAACCCCGTTTCTACTAAAAATACAAAAAGTAGCCAGGTGTGTTGGTGTGCACCTGTAATCCCAGCTACTCGGGAGGCTGAGGCAGGAGAATCACTTGAACCCGGGAGGCAGAGGTTGCAGTGAGCTGAGATAGTGCCATTGCACTCCAGCCTGGGTGACAAGAATGAAACTCCATTCCCCTCCCCACCCCCCCAAAAAAGAGGGACAGCTCTCTACTCACTTGGCAGCATTTCTCTAATAATTAGGTGTCAAGTTGTCTCAGTGGCTGCAAATTTGCTGTCTCCCAAACCTCTGGTCCCAGCAGAACTCCCAGGATCCTAGAGAGCCAAATGTTTAACTTTGCAGACATATTCTGGCCTGAAATCTGAGCCATGGAAAGCCATTACAAAAATGCATTCATTGTCCTTTTCAATGCTTTATATCATACCCGGAGCCATTACTGTGTGGAAGCCAGGACAGCTCTGGCTTCTCCTCATGTACTAAGACTGTATGCCAAGCCAGAGACTAGCTAATCTAGAAAATATGGATTTGGGGATGAAGGGAAAAAGAACCCTTGGAGTGACAGCATTTGGATTATTCTTCGCAGAGGCTTTTATTACCTCTCAGCTATTTGTATCAGGCTGCAAGTTTCAAGTATTAATGGAGTTTGTTTCTGTCTTTCAGGCCCAACTGGAAGGCATTATTGCACCAAAGAAGTGATAACTTCCACATGGGCCTACCCCATCATAAGCCCTTTGTAATAAAAAGCTAGTTTCCTGAGTGAACAAGCCATACCGTTCCCTAACCACCTAGGTATTTGTCAGAAGTCACACTATTGCTCCAATGTCATGAAACACGAAAGGTCTGCAAGCCAGCCTCCTGGCTGGGCAATGGAAGATGATGTGGTCCTGTTAGTCTCAGGGCGTGGCTTACTAGCCAGCCTTGGGATCTGCCGGCTCCGAGTCTAAGAAAGACACTGCTTTCTCATCATCATTCTATACCAGCACTTATTTCTTACCAGAGGAAGCTGCTGCTCTGCTCCTCAAACTTTTGGTTCGGAGTTCATCTTCTGCCTTTACCTGGGCTTCTGGCCTTATTTAATGTCTTTTTAAGCCCTACTCTAATGCATTTCTATTAACTCATTTTGGAGCTCTGGTTTTCTGCTGTACTGTATTACCCCCACTTGCCAGTCAACTGGACCCCTTCCTCCTCAGTTTCAGACTGCCTAGGTTAGTAAACGTTTGCCAGAAAGGAATACCAGTCACAGTGGCCTTTGTGAGCTGTCTGCAACGAGCTCTTCCTCCAGCACAGATTTGTTCACTTTATCCTGCAGAAAACCAACCCCTGACTCTGCACTCCCCTTAGTTATGTTGATTAACAACTGAAGAGGGAACCAAATCTCACGTGCAGGTCTAATGACTAATGATTGGACTATGGCCGCTAGCCAACTGCATTTTAGTATTTCTCTTCCACTTTCCTGGTTTTGTAGACCCAAATTGAATGGGTGACATAAATCTTTAGTTCAAGACAGGCCCGGGCGGGCTAGGATGGTAAGCTGGAGGACTTCCATCCTTCGGTCAGGCTGCACAAGTAACATTACCTAGAAGGCACTAACATTCTCAGGTTCCCGGAGAGGTGTGAGAAGGGACTCTCCTTAGCAGAGCTTCCACCTGCCATTCATCTTGGGTCCAGTGAGCTTCAAGGCTCACAAGGGAAGCATTATTGTCCCCTAGAAAACCTGTGTTCCCCAAGCTGTACACACCACATGCACTGTCATCTGGAATCTAAGGGGCAGCTTTTACCCTGATCCAGTATCCTGAGGAATTAAAGGCTCCACTCAAATGACCTGCCCGTGTTATTTCCATGGGAAAGAACTCTTCACAGGATCTGCTAGTTCCAGGATTCTACAACAGGAATGTAGTGCCCTAAGTGGGTTCACTTCACAGACTCAATGAGCAACAGAAGTTACTATAGTTTTCTTATTTTTTTTTGAGATTGAGTCTCACTCTGTCGCCCAGGCCGGAGTGCAATGGCTGATCTCAGCTCACTGAAACCTCCACCTCCCAGGTTCAAGCTATTCTCCTGCCTCAGCCTCCTGAGTAGCTGGGATTACAGGTGCCCATCACCATGCCCTGCTAATTTTTGTATTTTTAGTAGAGACGGGGTTTCACCATGTTGGTCAGGCTGGTTTCAAACTCCTGACCTCGTGATCTGCCCGCCTCAGCCTCCCAAAGTGCTGGGATCAGGGGCATGAGCCACCATGCTTCATATTTCAAAGCCCAGGCCACGCACACTAACGTGCTTGAAATCTGCGGTTCTGTATGCTTCTATTCCAAATTGTTCATTACCACTAAACAAGAAATACCACCCTTTCCACTTTGTAGACCTCATCCCCTATGTCTGTCAGACATTTACATGACAGGGTGACTGGATGAACCTCTTCGTTCATCTACAGTCTAGCTGAAGTACTAGACTTTCAGACTATCACTGAAATCCTTAAGGGTGAGGAGGCTTTATTTCCCTAGCGCTGGTGAAGAGCTTCAACTGTCCAACCTAAGAACAAATGCATTATGGCCTTAGAAATGCCAACGGGGCAGGAAGAAAATGAACACAATTTCTAATTGCATGTTTTTGTATAGTTTAATAAAAACCTTTTAAACGTTATTCTTTTATCTGAATTTTTTGTGTTTGTGTTTCTGTCCCTCCGAGCCATTGGTCTTCTTTTTGTTCCTGTTTCTGTTTTTCACGTTGTGTGTTTCATAGTAGCGCACACCAACTTTTTTCGGCCGTTGCTGCCGTTCTGCTCGCCTCCGCTGGAAAAAATGGCAAGAAAAGACGAAGGAAAAAAAAAACGATCAAACCATGAAAGTCATTCACAAAACAGGAGGCTGTGCTTCTCATCTCTGTTCTATTTCCTGCGCTATTTCCACAGCTACTGGAAGCGGTGCTAATGAGGGAGGGCTCCCCCATAGACCTAAGATTACTCTTCCATGTGACTTGTGAAACGCCAAGTTAAAAATCCGCATGTGGTCCAACCCTTATCCAGTGCGTGAACCCCTTCTGCAGCACTCCTGACAAGTCCCCTGCAGTAAGGCTAGGAGTGCTGCTGATACCTACTCCCCTCCCCAGAGGGCCCACTCCAGCTCTGAACAGCTCAGCTCTAAAGCTGTCCTCGAGACTGCCCAAACACATCTGCTCATCAGGTCATTTCCCTTGGGACTACAAACTGACTCCTCAGAGGATAATCCACCGCTGCGGAGATGTTGATTAGAAACTCCTCAGGGACCTTCATCCAGTGGGCCAGGCCCTGACCCTATTTATCTGACTTCAACTAGGTCACCGAGGACTGGGGTTCCTGGGATTCAGCTCTGGACCATTTGTTTCCGTGGGTCTTGACAACGGGACTTCTATTTACTCTAATTGGGTCATACTAAGACCTACAACACTTACTTCTTTTGATGTAAGCACTCTGGGAACTTTATTTGAATGTTCCTGTTCCTCTTCCCTTTGTGCCTTCCGCTTCTTTCCCTTTTTGGAAGGTGCTGGATACAAATGATACACAAACAGGAAATTTCTACTGAAAATTTGTCTATAAACCCAATGGTGGGAACAAGCTTGACATATCAGAAGGACACCCAATGTGGACACAGCGGGTGAGCAGCGTGGTGAGTAAAGCAGGCCAAGGGGAGGCCTCCAGGTCAGTGCCCTGAGCCACACACTCAGCGTGAAAGCTGATGCAAATGGAGGAAAGCATAAATGCAGGAAACATGCCCCCATCTTTGTCTGTGGACCCACCCTTGGATTCTAAGGTTAACAATGAACACTTTCTAAGAAGTTTCCTGAATTGACAATTTAATCCTAAAAGATGTGCAGAATGAAAAGCAGATAATTTGTATAACAGTATGTGAATTTAATCTGCCAGATAGGACATCTATGTGGATGACTATATGAGATAATTTGGAGACTGAACTTAGGTTTCTCAAAGCTCTAAAGATATATATTACATCTAAATGATTGAAATAATTTGTTTTCACCTGTATCATCTACATTTTCTTCTAGTGTTTTTCTTTGTTCTTCAGGTTTTGCAAATATCTTTTCACTCAGTCCCTTGGATATTCTGAAACAGAAAAGCAAAGTAATGTTCCTCTCACTCATCCAAATCACATGCTTACCTGGAGACCTGAGACCAACAGACCAAGGAACCCCACTCCTATCCATGTAGTTTATCTCCAATAGAAGAAGTCAACACCCCACATGCCCGTGTCTCCCTGGTGTTTCTAAAAGATTGGACAACCAAGCTTCTCATACTGAAGGTAGCTGAATTTTACAAAGTTTACAGCTCACTTTAAAAAAATGGATAACAAGGCCGGGCGCGGTGGCTCATGCCTGTAATCCCAGCACTTTAGGAGGCCAAGGCGGGTGGATCATGAGGTCAAGAGATCGAGACCATCCTGGTCAACATGGTGAAACCCCGTCTCTACTAAAAATACAAAAAATTAGCTTGGCACGGTGGCGCGTGCCTGTAATCCCAGCTACTCAGGAGGCTGAGGCAGGAGAATTGCCTGAACCCAGGAGGCGGAGGTTGCAGTGAGCCGAGATCGTGCCATTGCACTCCAGCCTGGGTAACAAGAGCGAAACTCCATCTCAAAAAAAAAAGAAAAAAATGGATAACAGCCAAGTGTGGTGGTGCATGATGGCAGTCCCAGCTACTTAGGAGGCTGAGACGAGAGGACTGCTTGAGCCCAGGAGCATGAGGCCAGTCTAGGCAACATAGTGAGACCCCATCTCAAAAAAACAAACAGACAAAAAACCCAACCAACCAACCCACCAACCAAATGGGAATAACTCCATGTAAAAATACAGCTCCAGTACTCAAGGCAAATTTACAGGAAAGGAACGAACAATCTGCAATTTGTGAGAAGATGAACGTATCACCTGACTGCCGAAAACTTTTTGGCTTTGGCTTTGTCTAAAAACTTCTGATATTTGGCAATCTTCTCATCCAGGGCTTTAATAACAGCTTTGCTGTCATTTCCCACATGCTCCTCCTCGGATTCCGAGGAAGACTCTTCCACAGCGTCTCTTTGTTGCTCCTGTTCCTCCACCTCTTCATCAGAAAAGCTGTCAAGCGCTTCCTCAAGATCTGACACCTCTACAGGAACCAGGTCATCCTCAGAAAACTGAGGCACCACGTTGATTTTACCAAAGTTCTGCCGAACCCGTGCGAGAATCTGCTGCATCTCTGTGTTAACATCGCAGTGACTGTTCTCTTCCGTTTCTTTCTTAATGACAGATTCTGACCCTTCACCTGCAGTTTTGGTGACTTCCTCTCTTGGATTATGCTGGGCTGCTTCTGGGACAACTTCCAAAGATGAGGAGGGTGGAAGCTATTAAGGGGTAGAAATAGGGGAGAGAAAGAGAATCAGAAAATGAAAACTGCAATTTCTGACTTGCTCTGAAATAGTCCTCTTCTCAGGACTGAGGGAAGGTATTGAAAACACCCAAATTTGAGGCATTTCATTAATCTATTTTTAAGCCAATGTACATTAAACCCAGAGACCAGTATTAGGACCAAAGGAATACATGTGTAGTTCCACAGGATGAGGCAACTAAGACTATTTAAATCATTAAAACCAACTAATGATTTACCATAGACAAGCAAGGCTCCCTAGACCTTCCGTAGGGGGCTGTTCATATAAGCACATGCAGAATCAGCACACACAACTATGTAAAAATGAAGGCCAGGGTGGATGTTAAGGATTAGAACAGTACTCAGAGAGGCATTTGAGGAGGTCCTCGGATTTAAGTGTGTCCTCCAAAATTTCTGTTGGAAATGGATATGGTTTGGCTGTGTCCCCACCCACATCTCATCTTGAATTGTAGCTCCCATAATCCCCATGTGTTGTGGGTGGGACCCGGTGGGAGGGTCATTCCCCTGCTGCTCTCATGATGAGTAAGTTTCACTAGATCTGATGGTTTTACGAAGGGCAGTTCCCTTGCACACATACTCTTGCCTGATGCCGTGTTAGATATGCCTTTGCTCCTCCACCTTCCGCTGTGATTGTGAACACTCCCCAACTGTGTGAACTGTGAGTCCATTAAACCTCTTTTTCTTTATAAACTACCCAGTCTCAGGTATTTCTTCATAGCAGGATGAAAATGGACCGATATAGACACTTAATCCCCAATGCAGCAACAGTGTTGGGAGGTGAGGCCTAGTAAGAGGGGATTAGATTGGGAGGGCTCTATCCCCATGACTGGACTAATGTGATCTCAAGAGTGGCTTAGTTATTTTAAGAGTGAGTCTGTTATGAAAGCAAGTTTGACCCTCTCTTGCTTGCTCTTGTCTTCCCACTTTCCACGATGGGATGACCCTTGTCAGATGCTGGTGCCCTGATACTGGACTTCTCAGCCTCTAGAACCATAAGTCAAAACAGTTTCTGTTCATTATAATTACCCAGTCTGCAGTATTCTTAGAGCAGCACAAAACAGACAAAGATAGGAGGCATCTTGAAGCAAGAGTATAAGGTAAGGAGGGGGCATTCTGTGAGTGATGAGAGTTCATAACGAGCACTAAGTCTGGGGACCCTGAAATGACTGGCCTGTTTTAGGTGACTGCAAAGATAAGTATGTGCCAAGCTTTCTGCCGGCATTTCACAGGTATAATATTTTATCCTTGCCACAGAAACTCACAGAATTTAAAGTGATTTTCAAAGGCAAGAGTGGCCGGGCAAATCACTAAATAAATACAGAACCATAAAATCCAGGAAACCACATACAAAATTGGAACATACATTTTTCTAGGAAGGGCAATTTTTGGCTTTCAGTTTCTGAAGGGGTTTCTCCCCTCAACCAAAAAAGGCAAAACAGAATCAGAGAGTAAGGCACACAATAGTGAAACTGCCTCCACAGGACTGACAAGGACCACCTGCTGAGTTCTGGACAGAAACACGATTATAATTAAGCACTAATCAGGGGGCACTCTGGCCTATTTCCTTGTTGCTGAAAGTCCTGAACACTAGGTACTGCCCATTTGCATCCCCACTGTCCCTACAGGCAGGATTTCTGACATTCAGGTCGTAAGACTCTGTAAGAATTGCTGTGCACCCCACTGTTCCTATAGACAAGGTATCTGACATTAGAACCATAAGGTTTTTGTTTAAAAATTGCTTCAAGTATTTTTTCAGATCCCTAATTCTAGCAACCAGTTTGAAGATCCCCAGAGAAACGGGATCTGCATGAGAACACAGCTTCCTCATCTCCCTGTCCCGTGACTTCACCCTACACTCTTCATCCAGTCAATGATTCTCACTCCAGCCCACTCCAAAACCCTTTAAAAACCCTAACCCCAAACTCCTCATGGAGATGGATTTCATGATTCCTCCCATTTCCTCCTTCGGTAACCCTATGATTAAACCTCTTTCTCTGCTGCAACCTGGTAGTGTCTCAGCATATTGACTTGCTGTGTGCATTGGGCAACAAATCTATTATGTTTACAATAGTTTTTAAGACTTGGCAGGGCGTGGTGACTCACGCCTGTAATCCCAGCACTTTGGGAGGCCGAGGTGGGTGGATCACCTGAGGTCAGGAGTTTAAGACCAGTCTGGCCAACATAGCGAAACCCCATCTCTACTAAAAATACAAAAAATTAGCCGGGCATGGTG